CTCAGTGGTCTAACTACCTGCCTGGTAAGCACAAGGACCAGGTTCGATCCCCAGTACCCCATGCCATGCCACCCCAAAATCACTAGACATGCTGTGTTGACCACTGAAGCAGGTGTGGTAGTGCATGCCTGTAATTCCAGCACTGCAGAGGCTGAGACAAGAGGATCACTATGAGTCTGAACTGCATAATGAGACTCTACCAAATACAAGATTTTTTAAAAAATGAATACTTGTTGGGGATAAGGGAGAGCAGATAAAAAGTATGGGACAGGATAGTCACAGCAGCTACATGGACTTTGCTTCTGTTTCTCTAGAAATGGAAGATAACAATAGTGTCTCTCTCCCCCACTGTTATGTATGATAACGGTGTTTCTATAGGATAGGAACTTCTACACAAACAATTGCTATAACTTCCTTAACTTAAAACAATTACAAAAGCACACAGTCAGTAATTACTGACTAAAACAATTCAACCTGTCAGTATGAAGGAAAGATTTAGCACTCACCAAATCATGCCTAGATTTGTGAGGAAAGTATCTTTGCAACATGTCCAGATACAGAGTTCTTCTGCCAATGAGATCTCCAGGATACTGACCTAAAACAGTCTGGTAAATCCAGTGATCTTCTTCACTTAGTTGAAATTTTCTGATGGCAACAAATATGGTACAATATATCATTACGGAGGAATCATGGATTTTAAGGAAACTCAAATTAATTAAGATATTTCCAAGTGACAAAAATTACATATATAAGAAATTTTCAAACACTAGCCAAATTTATTGTCTACTACATAAAACATATTAAACTCTAATACAATGGTTCTTTCAATCACTTATTTTATTTTTGCATGGGAGTCAGGCATAATATGAAGCAGCTCATAAAACATAGTTTTTTAATTAATTTTATTGAGAAACAAATAGCAATGAGACCATTTCAAAACCAATTAGTACAAAGCTACTGTGATAAAATCAGCATGGTACTGGAAACAAAATAGACCTTAGGATCAATGGAATAGAATAGAAGATCCAGAAGCCTCTACAAGCACACTGAGCCACTTAATTTTTAACGCAGGGGCCAAACATGCCTACCTGAAAAAACATAGCTTCTTTAACAAATGGTGCTGGAAAAACTGGCACTCTACATGCTAAAAACTAAA